GAAATTTTCATAATTTCATGCGGATGAAACCGCACGGGAACAGCTAATTTGGTATAAACTATCCATACTTTAGTTGTAGATGACAAACGAGGAACCATCTTACATAATTTGCGATCATATTATAAATGGTTATTTTGTTTTAAGTCTTATTTGTAGATATTTACAAGGAGACGATAAAGAAGAGAAAGCAATCGGACAGACATAAGCTAAATAAATCATCTCCTCATGAAAAGACAGATGTTTTTATTTTTTGTTGGTATTTAATGTACAAAAAACATATTTGTACGCTTAATTTATTTATATTGTTTCAATCCATTAATTTAAAAAGATATTAGATTCGTTTTTCCCAAAGCACAATTACGGGGAGTCATTGAATAACACAGAGGGGAGCAAATTAAGTTCAAACATTTTTAATTTTTTGGAGGGTTCGCCGTTCACACGAAGGATTCAGGTGAAAATGTTGATGACGAACAAATTGTTTTGTCAGATTACAGAATCATTTTTATTTTTAAAATCCGTTAGCCCTTTGTTTGAAACAAAATATTTTGTATTTGAAACAAGGTTGATAGGATACGCTTTGGTCTTTGGACCAGCACCAGATTTTGTCATTATTTTAAAAAAGCAACTAAACAGTTTATGATAATAACCTTGTGCCATCTGCATTTTTTCTGCAATTTTATTTTCCTACTCACCTATTTAAAACTGTTTATTAGTAAACGCATTTATAAAGTCAGTCTCCCGTAGGTTCTCTGTTAAAAACGCGTGGGAACTCGTCCGTGTGTTTCAATAAACGTCTATTGTTTGTTTAATTTAGGAACAAGCGCTTAAACATTGTTTGTTGCCTGGAATTATATTGTTTTTCAATTAGATAACTGGAATGTTGGAAAATGTTACGAACTCGTACTAAAAAGGCTTGTAAAAATTAAAGATACATAAAAAGACTTTTGTAGCATGATTTAGAAAACAAATGGTATTAAAAAAGCATATCCAGTATACATTTTAAATGTGATGGAATAAAACAAATTATGCCATGAAATTCATTCAATTACTAATATAATAAAGCGTAAAAACATGCTACTTTGTGACGTAGGATGTCAGCGATCGCAGAATATTTTTGAATAATTACTTCTTTCATAAAAAGGCCTACAGTTATGACACGCTTTTGAGTATTTTACGCTATGCTAACCTTCATGGCAAAGGACTATAACTATAAACAGCCGACATTAAGGAAGCAAGGTTATTATGGTAACGGTAATTTTGACATATCCTACTGACAATTTGACAAATGTAGACAATAAAATAAAGTTTTAATTTCATGCGGATGAAACCGAACGGGAACAGCTAGTCAATTATATTTCCAGCCATTATACATGAAGATGCATTCGTTTTACTTTCTATATTATCAGTGTACTAATAATGTAAGTTACATGGAAATGTCATCATGAGATCCTATAGGAATAAGGATTTCATTATTTTATTTCTGACATTTTCAAAAAATAGCAATAAATTAATTTATATTCGCGGTTAAAATACTAAAAGCTTCCTACGAATATTACAACGCAATTTAAATTGTAGTTGCGTCAACAATTGTGTATTGTAATCCTCTTAAACGCTGTTTAACCACTATTTCGACAAATTGTAGCCAATTGGAGCCAAAATGTAATAATTTGTAGGTAAAATCAACTGACGAGCAGATACAGTTTTATTGTTTTATTTTATACTTTTAATACCTAGTTACTCAGTGGAAGAATTGAAATAATTAAAAACCGTATGTTTTTTTTTTCTTTTAATTCAGCCGCCTGAATCCGCCAAAACGGCGAAGCGACTGCTGCCTAAAGAAATCTACAATCGCAGATGCGTTGCCTACCCTTAATCAACGGAGGGGGAGATGCACATAAAGAGGATATTTCTATACTTCACGCCTGTTTTCTGTATGGTGGTATTACACCGGGCAAGCCGGCCCATTCATGCGAAGATGTTAAAGCGAGCTCTACCACTGAAAACTCTGAAAAGTGTTGAATGAAATACAGCCCTGAATAAAATGGTCATATTTTAATAGTTGTTTTAATAGCAATTCCGCGTTTCGTCTGATGTGTGTGGTGCCGGAGGCCTACTTTTAGTAACTTTCCACCCTTTTCTTAGAGGAAAGGATGGAAAGAAAAAATGGATTTGACGGTGGAGGAGACGCATAGGAAGGGGAAATGTCCTCTTTGTGTGCGTCTCCTCCGTTAGTTAAGGGTAGGCAACGCATCTGCAATTGTGGATGTTTATGAGCAACGGTCGATTTCCATTTCGGTGGATTCAGATGGTCGCATGCTCGTTTGCCACCCAATATTATAAAAAAAAAGATTAACCAAAGTCCCACTATTTAGTTTTCATATTTAGAAAACCGAAACCAATCCGAGTATTTCTTCCCGTCTATCAATTTGATAACAGTTATAACAATGTAAAATTAGGTTTTGGTAGGTTTGACGTCGACTTTCAAATTGAAATTAACGTTTAACAGTTTTGGGCTTACAAATGTGTAGTTCAATAACAGTTTTCCGATAACAATATAACTGTAAACTAACTGAAATTTAATTAAGAATAGCCTCGACAGCTGCCTAATGACTTAGTTTTCAGAAACTAATTTCGAAATAATTGTAACGCACTTAGGCCATTTGTTTCGAATGGTTTTATTAATGTTAAAGAAATTTAACTCATTTACATCAAGATATCAAAAGGTTAGGATTGCAATTTTATGAGCTGATTTCTTAGGCTTGAAATAAAATATATCATCATTATTATAATATTATTACTTTTTTTTCAATTACACTATCATTAAATTCAACATTCTTCCTAGCAAAGTTACTATCGTCGTCTGGTAGTACTAGTGGAATAGTAGATTGTAAGTAATACTACGATAATGTCATTATCATCGTAACCACTGAGGGGATCGGCGCTTATCCTAGTTAGGGATGACTAGACCATAGTCAACCACGCTGTGAAAACACATTGTTACATGGCGGAATTCGAACCTAGGACCTGTAGATTACAATTCAATTGCTTAATCGTTATGACAACTGTGCTCCATATTGTAACAGCTAGTTAGCTAATATAAGACTTTAAAAAAAGTAAAATTTTACGATCGAATTTCTTGTGACTTAATTGAAGTTAGCGGTTCTATAACTAATTTTTCTTATTATTTGATTTGAGTACTACAAAGGCATCTTGCCAATATCTTAAAGTCATAAATCAAGAGTGATTTCCGCTGAATAGGACGAAAGACTTGTTCAAATTATTAACACACCATTAGTTTTCTTTGCTCATCTTCATTGTTAATGGAAATTTGTTTGATATTTTACATTAACGTCATATGTTAATTGAATTTTGACACAATATTACTTGCAATTCAAAGCCATTAACGTAAAAAGAATTAAGAAAATTTATTCGTGGATTGCTCAGATATAATTGCAGCTACGACCGGCTTCAATCTGGTCAAGTAGTTAATTAAACTGGGACAGCAAAACTTGCTATAATATGCCTGCATAAAGAATTAAGTATAGACATTTGAGAATTCTCGTTTTAAAGTATCAATTCACAATTTTGGTTACACAATCATTCTACAATATCCTTTTAGTCACTTACTAGCTTGTTGTTCTTCGTCATTTTCTGAATGAAAAAAATTGTTGCCTACTGCTTTTGCAACTTCGTGACATAGATGGCTTTTGATTTAATATAGAATTTATATATAGAAATACTCCTTTGAGCATTCTTCGAAATGAGCTGAAGGAATTGAAAACAAAGAGTGAGCTCCGACGTTCTCTTGTGGATTACTCGACGCCGCACTTTAGCAGACAGTGTTTACTAGAAAACTATTTCTCTATATTTACTTAGAAACTACTTCAAACAATTTTTAATATTCTATGTTGTTTTAACTTCTAGCTAAGAAACGCACAATTTATACTTATTCATTTTTATCTTGTAGAATTAAATATGATAACTTAAAACCACATAATTATGGAGTATATTATTTTTTTTACTAAAATTTAAAAAATCAAAGTTGACATATGCTAAAATATTTGTGGAATATTCTAATAAAAACAAACTAAAATGTCTACTAACTAAAACTAAAACAAACTAAAATCCAGTTCAGAAACTCTGCGGTATTTAAATTTAAACTAGATCCAAATGCAGACTGCAAATATTACCTTAATTGTAATTGTCAGGAGTCTGAACTGCTTACGAATAAATTAGTCGTGTTCCAATATAGACGTTACCTTAACGTCAATAGTCAATCTTTCGAAAATAAGAACTCAATTTTATACTTTTCTCGTTAGAAAAATTAAGTCAATCATCCTATTCTTTTACTTAGAAATCGTACTAATTTCATACTAATATGTATTATAGTTAAATGCGAAAGCTTAGATTGGTGGATGAATGTCAGAGTTTGTAGCCTAAAAGGACGACGTTGAAATTTAGCACAGATGTAGATTTAATTGCAGGGATGTTGGTCGTTTCAGTTAGTTTTTGGCTGATTTACAGGTGAATTACTTTTAAAAGCAGTTGTTTCCATTTTATTTTTTTTTTCAACTCATCATCCACTTGCCCTTATCCCTTATGGAGGGTCGGCACAGTATGTGCTGCTCTTCCATACATCTCTATCAGCCTTCATATCTGAATCCACTCCTTTCTTAAGCATATCTTCCTTCACACAATCCATCCATACTTTCTTCGGTCTTCCTCTTCCTTTGTAGCCATCCACATTCAATCTCAACACTTTCTGGTTTATGTCCCCATCATTTCGTCGCATAATATGTCCATATCACGCTAACCTTTTGCTTCTCAATTTCTCCACCACTGGCGCTACTTTCAAACTTCCTCTAATGTACACATTCTTAACTTTATCCAATCTTGTCACACCACACATCCATCTTAACATACGCCAGCCACATCTCAGCCACATGCAATCTCCTTTCATCCGCAACTTTGGTGGCCCAGCATTCAGATCCATACAATACGACAGGTCTTATGATGGACTTGTAGATCTGTCCCTTAAGCCTAAGAGGCATTCTTGGATCACAAGTCACACCAGTAACCTGTCGCCATTTCATCCAACCTGCATTTATTCGGCTTTTTACGTCTCGGTCAACGCCACCGTCGGACTGGACTAGAGAACAGAGGTACTTAAAGTCGGAGCAGGTTGGTATAGGCACACCATTTAAGGCGATTGGAGAGAAGCTGGTCGGACCGCCAAAATCGCAAAACAAATGTTCAGTTTTGGTCCTGCTGATTTTAACACCAGCTCCCTCCAATTTAACCCGCCATTCTTCCAACCTGTTCTGTACCTCGCATTCATCCTCCCCGACAAGCACGATGTCATCGGCATAAAGCATACACCAGGGTGCCTCCTCCTGTATGTTTAATGTCAAAGCATCCATTACCAGGAGGAACAGATAAGGGCTTAAAGCCGACCCCTGGTGTAAACCCACCGAGACACCGAACCTGTCACTATCGCCAGCAGCGGACCGGACGTATGTACTGGCTCGCCAGTACATGGCCTGAATAAGCTGCAGGTATTTCCCAGGCACTCCTTTTACTTTCAAAGCCCAACTTCTTATTTTTTTTTCAAATGTTGCTAAATAAATAATTTACTTTACTAGATGTTTTTTTCAAAACTTTGGATGGACGACGTCACGGGAAACATCTTGTCACTTTATAAAGACATTACATTTTACGCAATTTTTTTAAAATAGAATGAATAAAAAAATGTGTGTTCTTAAAGTGAACAATTAAGAAAATCAAGTTAACACGTTGTAAGTGGAAGACATGTACTTTAAAATTATCGGAAAACTATATTCGCTTCTTCAAAAGGTAGTAAAAAGTAATCGGTCCAGTCTTCTTTGCTACCTTAATGGACTCGGAACGAAGTTAGTTTCGGTCATGTAATCTTATTGTTAAAGAGAAAATAATTCTCTACCGTTCTTTTACACTTATAGTATTTAAGAATCTTAATAGATTTATAATTTATATACTATAATTTTATACTACAATACTATAATTTTTACAATTAAGGCATATTAACGTGGGATTACACTACATTAAGGAAAACGATGATGGCAATTGTTTTTATACATCTATATTTAGGCAACAGAAATCCAAATTTAGATGTCAATAACTTTAATTATACGTGTAACTATCTCACGGGTACCGTAACTATTTTCGGGATCAAAAGTGGACTATGTGCTCTTCCAGACTAACAAATTTCACGGTTATCCATTCAGCAGTTTAGGCTACAAACTCTAACATCCAACCATCTAAACATTCACATTGATAATATTAGTAACATTATATCATTTCGAGATAATTAAAAAATCTGTCAAAACATAAACTTTTACAAAGTAATATCTACATACATAATTCAAAGAACTGACAATGCTTAATTGAAATCTGTCGCATTAAATAGATTAATTCGTTCCACTTCACCGCAAAAACAGCAAAGGAAAGATTTAATAGAATTAATATGGAAAAATAATGTTACAGCATTTCCTATCGTGTTTACAATAAGAATTTACATTAGAAAATGTTATCATACTAATTACTTTTAATGCGAAAGTTTAAATGAATGGATGGATGTTTTTTAGAGTTTGTAGCCTAAACGGCTGAACAAATTTAGATGAAAATTGGTATAGATGTAAATGATAGACTGAAAAAACACGTAAGCTACTCACTTGTTTTCCTTGTTACATGCAGACGCAGTCGCGAGTCAAAATATTCGTCTTAGATTTAGTATTAAAAAATAATTTATTAAAACTGATTCACAAACTATTATATAAAAGATTACAAAAATACAGAAAAAGACGGGCGGATCCCCGTAAAACTTATATAACAACTACTATGCTACTCTTCCATCTCGTTGCCAACAGTGGACTGGTCTTTTTATCCTCAAGCTCGCTATTGTCTTCATACTGCAGGGTGGTCGGCTGAGGTGCGGTGTGAGGGGATGTTTCCATACTTTTCCTTAATGTTTCATTGTTCAGTTCCACGGAGTGTTTAATGTTCTACGTGGAACGCTTGGTATGCTTGGTATACTTGGAATGTTTGGAATGTTCATCTCTATATTCTCTATTTTGTTGATCTGGGACCTCTGACTCTCCCCTCCTAAATTCGAAGTTCCGCGTTTTAAACAAATACGGAATCTTAGCATTTGTGATGAAAAGATGAAGATTAGGATTAGAGTTATAGCAGCTATCCAAGCATACTGAATCACATTATGTTTACTTTCATATTTAAAATCTTCCATTTGCTTAATATTTTTTAATCTGGTTGATATTTTTGATGCATCGTATGTTAACTCCATTTCTGTTACGTAGTTATTCGTTTGTAAGTCCACTGCAGCTATGATTACATTCTCGGTTGATTCCTTTGTATAATACAATACTTTACTACCTGAAACACTAAGTTCACAATTCTCACCATACAATATATTAGACTGTATAGTCCATATGGTCTCGCTTTTTTTATTACATTTAATTCTTATTTCAGTAGTCTTATTAAAATACATATAGATTACTTTATTTGATATTACAATAATTTCTTCTTTTGGACATTTCATTGGTATCATTTCACATTTACTACTATCTTTTTTATATAAAATTTCAGTTTCACAATTACTTATATTAGCTACATTAATATATTGTTTACATATAAATTCCTTTAATTCTATACAATTGTTAACTTCATAAATTTCACTATCATTATATGCAAATGTAACTTTTCGCATTACAGGATAGGAACAGGAAGGATTATTGTGAATTATAGGAATAATCTTCCTAGTATTGTAAATAGTATCTTTAACTAAAGGAATATTAATCATAAAATATATAATATTATTTATTATTTTACTTTCCACGCTAATAAATTGTTCTACATCATTTAGGTTACTTGATATCATTTTATCTTTTGGAATACTTTTAATAGTATCTTGTAATAATTGAGATTGAATAATACTATAGTGATACATTTTATGTTCTGCAAAAGTGATAGCAGTGGCTAAACGCTCCGCTACTTCTTGTAAAGTTTGCGATTGTAACAATATAGATAAAGCAATTCTTTGCTCATTTTTATTTGATACCATGTCATTAAACCGTTTGCCGATTTGATTCTGAAAATTAGTTATATTTGCTAATTGTTTATTGAATTCTTCTAAAGTCTCATCCGTTATAGATATCTGTTTATTATATGCTATTCTCAAAGTTTGTAAATCATGCTGGATATTACCTAAATCATTATCATCTAAATTTCCCGTAACATATTTGATTATAATGCCTAACCCGTTAAATAATCCTCTCTTAACTCTATTTTTACTTTGTATATTCAAATGCTTACATATTTCTGCTATATGCTGTAAAATAATGTCAATTCGTTCATAAATGTATAATAAATCATTATTTTTATCTCTAGATTTAGCATGTTTAACTAACAACTGTAAACTGTTTAAATTTTCGTTAATAGGTTCTATATTTAAGTTATGTATAATCGTCCATTTACCTTCGATTATTCTTGTCAACTTTTGTTCTATTATTACAACATTTTCATTTGACCCTAACTGTCTGAATCTGTATCCACTACTGTAGATGAACAGCAATCTGTAACAAGAAGCTCCTCTACATGATATATTTTACCGTTACTTAATTTATATTTATTTCGTGGTTCTACACCAATTATTTTAAATGGTCCTAAATATCTACTTTTTGTTTTATGCCGTTCTGCCATACTATTTTTTAAATATGCGACATCTCCTATCTTAAAATTTTTTACTTGTTTAAGTTTTTTACTGATTCTATTATTTCTATATTCTTTTTGTTTTACTAATAAATCATGTACATTCTTATTTAATTTATTAGCGAATTCCCGATGTTGTGCTGTATAATTTTGAACAAATAGTCTCATATTATCGAAACTTCTTAGTTTCGGTTTTCTTCCAAAATGAACTTCATACGGAGTCATTCCTATCGAACTATGCTGCGTATTATTATAACTATGCGTTATAAAATTAATCTTTTGGTTTTTATCTAGATCTGAATCGCGTTGTAATCTAAATAATTCTTGAATAGTACTGTGTAATCTTTCTACATCCGAATTAGACTTATGATGCTGTGCCGTTGTTGTGTGATTGACTATATCATATGTTTTAAATAATTCGTTTAATATTTCACTACAAAATGATTGCTCACCATCGTGTACTATTTTATTTGGTGATCCTATTAATGCAAATATTTCATACAACGTATCATAAACTTTTGACTTTTCTGTTGGTCTAATGATCGCGTATTTAGAAAATTTATCTATTATAGTTAAATACCAATCTCTTTCAAGAGACATGAAATCAATGTGCCACACTTGCATTGGTTCATGTGGTGTTTCTGTTTCGGTTGGTAAAGTATTATATGGATGTCTATTATACTTCTCTCTTTGACAAATTTCGCAATTATTTATATACTGTTTAATCATTTTTCTCATTTTTTCAAAATAGTATTTTTCACGTAACTGTTTATAAACGCTATCTATTCCTGCATGTCTGTTATTATATAAATGATATTTTTTAATTAACTTTAATTGTTCTTCAGCATCATCAACTTCGATTAAAGATTTAGTATATCTTACTAATTTTAGTTTACTATGATCAAAATATTTCCTATAGGTTTCTGACACCTTATAATATAATTCATCATTTGGAATTATTAACGCATATCTGTCTTTATTAAAATATTCTAACATTAGTTCTTTTATTATTTGTTCTTCATTGTTAGGTGGAATATATAAATATAACACATCTCTTTCTTTTTTTACTTGCTTAAACGGAGCCAATTCAAACACGACACGATTTAACCGTCGCGGTGGGTAATTATTGACTATTGGAATACCAGTATCACTATCCTCTTGACAAGAATGGATCGTTACGTTTGACGACTCATTGTCTTGATTTATGGCCGTGTTACTTGATGTAATGCTACTATTGTCTCTTGAGGAATTATTACACTGAGCTTCTAACGAATCGTCGCTGAAGTGATTCAACTGTATTCTACTTAACGCATCCGCTACATAATTTTCCTTGCCTTTAACGTGTTCTACTGTATAGTCATAATCCTGTAATCTCAATTTCCACCTAGTCAATTTTTGATTTTGTTCCTTAAGTTTCGACAACCAGATTAACGCCTTATGATCTGTTCTAAGTTTAAATTTTTTCCCGTAGACATAAGGTCTAAACTGAGTTAGAGCCCATACGACTCCTAACAGTTCCTTTTCCGTTGTGTTATACCTTTGTTCTGTCTGAGTTAATGTTCTTGACGCATAAGCGATCGGATGATTTTCTTGACTTAATACCGCGCCTAATGCTATATCCGACGCGTCCGTTGTGACTACAAAAGTTTTGTTGAAGTCAGGTAACGCCAATATTGGTGCGTTAATTAACAAACGTTTACAAGTTTCGAAAGCCTCTAAATATTTTTTATTTTTTATATCTACTGTGGCGTTCTTTTTTGTGCACATTGTTAGT